CTTGAATAGAATGTGCCGAACCATCCTTATCGGGGTACCCCCCAGGAGGCCCATCGCGCGGCAAGAAGGCCGAGTCGGCGGACGAGTCGCGGCGCGTGATGTGCGATGAAGGACGTGCAATGGGACATTCTATTTAACTTGACGCGATTTCCCTAATACGCGCGCGACTCGTCCGCTGACTCGGCCTTCTTGCCGCGCGACGGGCCTCCTGGGGGGTACCCATCCTGATGTGGGCTTACTAGGGCGTCGGAGCCCGCACTAAACATTGGATTCACACATACGAGCCGTATCTTTTTCTCTACAAGATTCAGAAGAGGACACCTTTGGATGCGCAAGCGCAGGGTGAATATTGCTTGAGGAATCATTAACGGCACGTCGAGGATTTTCGCCTGATCCATTACGTATCTTCACTCTCCCTACCGCGAGCCGTCTATGCCTCCGCGCGCACATTCACTATAGCATCACCACAGTGGAGTACACAAAGATAGCCAAAATCACCCACCCGGGGACGCCCGCTAGGACGAAGAAGACACACCGACAGCGTGTGTCCGAGCAGTATGGGGCCATTATCACGGCAACAGGGAACATCACAATAAATTTCGTTAGCCCAATATGTAAAGCTATGGCTAAAGATTGTGTGAAACTTTAAAAGAAACTTGGTGCAGTATTCATGGGACACCTGTAGTTGGATCTCTTTTTAGTGATGATTCATCTACTTTTGTTTGTCCGTTCTTTCATTGATTTGTAGCTGGGTTCCATTCCTTGATGTTAAGGATATCCAAGCTCGTTACATCGCAGTGGTACGTTTTCCTAGAGTCAGAGTCTGTTGTAGACGCGTCCACATTATTCTCATTCCTGAAAGGTTTTGATCCAACAAAGAAAACCTTCTTAGGACACGGTCTTTACGACAAGAGGTGAATCAATCTTTATAGCATTCCTTGGGATAACGTTTTCAGTTCTTGATTTCAGCCCTACCATCATACATCATTTTTACGGACATGATCGCGATGGGGACCGGAAGTTCTTATTCCCTGATTTCGCTGCCGGTTTTGTTCTTTCGGGAGAGACTGTTGACAAGGTTTCATCAGCAGAATGTTCTTTTTCAAGGAAGGCTATCGTCAAGGCTGTTATTGGAATTTTTAGCTTAGCTGCTGCAATGAATACTTCAGCTGCTAAAGCAACAGACACGTTCACGATTGATGCAAAGCATGAGGTTTGCATCCACTGTCTAGACGGTAGAAGCTTCCTGATATTTAGAATGATTTGGACTCATGTCTGTGTTATGCTTTATGATTTTTTGTTCTGTTTTTAGTTGTCGCTGCTGATTTTGAGACAATGCAAGACAGTCTCTGGAATCCTATCCGGATTGAGTTTGTATCGAAAAGTGGGACGATGTGCAGTTTCATACGAGGCAAGTTATTACGTTGGGCAGAAGCTCACGTTGTATAAAAAGAGCTTATTCCTCGTTAAAAAGGCTAGATACTTACTAACAGATCCACCGAAACTTCCGTTAGTTAGGCCTGTTTCGAAGAGTGTACCTTCGCTTCACAGTGAAACGTTGCCCACGTTATCTCCTTTTCAGCCCTTAGTACCCGCTCTTCACACTCGTTGTCTCTGTTGTACTCTACTGGTTTCACTGAGCCGTGGCGCTTATAGAGCTTATAAGAATGTGAAATTTGTTATATGGGCGCAAGTATACGGTCGCGCGATCGTAACGATCGTATACCGGTCGCACAGCATTAGATGCGTATCGATCGTCAGACTTGTCTAAGTATTCGATGATCGTTACGTTGGACGACCGACTATGCATGCGCCCTATAACAACTTGCCACACGATTGTGATCGGACTCCAGCGTTCTGATCATCTTTCTCAAGCCAAACAGGGTGTCGCGATCGATCCGCCCATCGTGCTTTTCTAAGATCCAATAGCAAAACTTACGGGGCGACCGCAACCAAGACTACATTGTTGGTTCTTCTTCACAGAGTGCTGTAGGCCACGGAGCTAAGATTTCCAGGAATTGCGAAGTTCACTATCGGATGTCTGACGTAGCTGTGCGAGAAATTAGGCCCTATATTCAAGTTTATGCGCACAAAGAGAGAGACCAGACCGAACGGTAAGCCGTGGAATTTGGGAAGGTTATTCACAAGAGGTAATGGGATGTGAAGGTCTACCAGCCTGAAAGCATTACAGAATTTGAGCTTAAAGTGTGAAGCAATATTTATGGGACACCCTGTAAACCGCCACAAGCAGATTAGAGTAAAATAGAGCGATTGGAAAAATCTGTCAAACCTACTGAAAAGCGGCCACGAAGCCCAAAATCCAACAATGTCCGGGAAATCAACGTGGGGGACAACAATCTCGACATTCTAAAAACACACCGATGTTTAATCTGTTGTCGACCACGCTTGGAGACTACCTCTTTCAAAATTTCGGCCTGCTGTGAAATTGAGTCTTTTAGCGCAGATGTTTTCAAATTATCGAATGCCGACCGCTGCCCGAGAATCACAAATGTTACGAAACCTGGAATACTGCAGGCAGTAATTCATGGAAGGAATCGGGAAATACGTCTTCGGCATCTGTAAAGCTAGAGACCAGCACGCAACGACTGAAGTAGCGTAGGGTCAACCAGCTCAGACGATGCGAAAACAAATCTCAGCAAAATAGATCGGAATATCTCTGAGTCTCAGGATTGTGCCTAGGGTAGGAGGGGGTTGATGTTTTCCTCTCTAGCTTACAATGGAAATACACAAGGTTGTTATGACCATTGAAGAAGCAAGTCCTCTTCAACATGCACTTCAGACGGCAGCTGTGCTTTGCAGTCAGACTCAGCGACTGTGCAATCGTAACAGCATTGTCGCTGTCGCGACTGCACAGTTGCGAAATCCGATAGGGATCGATAACGACCAATGGCCGACCATTGCAAAGCCCAACACTACCTACAGAGCGTGCCTTTGCGAAACGTGCGTTTAGTACATTGTGAGTAAACTT